TCGAGAAGACAGAATAGACCTGAACACCTCCAAGTTGTCAATGCGGTTGTTATTTCAAAACCTGCTGGTGCCCCTCAGCACAACAATCAACAGAAGGACGAGAGACCTCGAAGGCAATTTACTCGTCTCAGCATGACTTTGTCTCAGATTCTGCCCCAGTTGTTGAAGACCAATCTGGTAATTCTAAAGGAAGCTCCGAAAAGTCCAAATACCACATCACCGAGGTATAACCCTAATGCCCGCTGTGCTTTTCACTCTGATAGCCCGGGGCATAATGCGGACGATTGTTGGGTTTTGAAGAACAAGGTGCAAGACTTAATTGATGCAAAGGAGATTGAGTTCGAGGCGCACGAGAGGCCTAATGTTGTGACTGCTCCCATGCCCAAACATGGAGTAAATGCCATCGAAGATGACGTGGAGGAGTCTGAATTCGACAGTTGGATCTATCTTACGACCAACGGTGGACCAAGCAACTGGAAAGCAAAGGATTTCATCCCTGTTACTTTTGTTACTCAGTAATAAAGCTTTTTGTTTTGAATTTGTAACAGACAATATTATGAAACTTTATGGCCCGATGTCTTACCCAGAGCACCGTGGCTTCATTTGTGAGGGCTTTTGTGTGCCATTTTCATATATCATTAATAAAAGCATTGGAAGTTTTTGCATTTCAAATCTTGCGCTCTTTGTTTTTCTTTATTATATATTGCAAAACAGCTATTTTACACACACTCACATATACAGGTCTCAATCCATTCTGGATCTCACTGGTAACGACTCTGCTACTGCCAGTTATGACTTCAAAAATACGATCAACTTAGCCGAAGACGAAGGTGAAGATGATTGTGAAGTGCCTGGTGAACTTGCAAGACTGCTACTCCAGGAAGAGAGGGCCATTCAGCCACATGAAGAGCTAGTGGAAACAGTGAATCTGGGTACTGAGACAGACAAAAAGGAAGTCAGGATCGGTGCAAATCTGAAGCTTAGTGTGAAACAACGGTTGATTCAGATGATGCATGACTACGTGGAGATCTTTGCCTGGTCTTACGAAGATATACCTGGGTTGGATACCGACATTATGGTTCATCGCCTGCCTACCAAGGAAGACTGTCCTCCGGTAAAACAGAAGGTTCGCCGTATGCGTCCAGAGATGTCTGAGAAAATCAAGGCCGAAGTTATGAAACAGTTTGACGTCGGTTTTCTATGACTATACAAACGTCTCACGTCCGTCCCTTCATATCCAATGATGAGACTTCTTACCAAATCAATGGTAAGATAGCAACATCTAAAGGAGGAGGAAAAGAACATAGACCTTTTGAGTAGGTAGGATGCTCCTAGTTGCTCGCTTGCTCACAACAAAAACATTTTATACACCAACACTTTCATTTGAAACATTTTCAAAAGACAAAGCTTTTTGTACGCGTTCTTATAGAAACGAGAACCATTACAAAGACACTTTTCAAAATCACTTTCCAAAACACATTCCACAAACACCTCTTTGAACTATTTTCAAAAACCAACATGTTGCACGCGTTCTTATAGAAACGAGAGTTATTACAAAGACGCTTTCAAAATACTTTTAAAACTCACACCACAAGCACATTTTCAAACAAAAGCAAGTGATCTAGCAAACAACTAAGAGCCCGTAGATAACTTCGGATGAAAAAGGTGCTAACACCTTTCCTTTTCATAACTTACCCCTCGAACTCAAAAAATAATATCAAAAGGTCTTTCCTATTTTTTTCAATCTTTCCTTTTTGGACAAAAGAAAAGTCGGTGGTGACTCTTGCTATCCGCAACAATTGCGATCAAACGCAAAACACCCAAGTCAGTTCTCCCACTGTATTACAACTTTTAATAGACTTTGACTAATGGAGTAGACGGATGAGACTCATGCATGTATTAAAAAGTTAAAGATCAATTTGACACAAAAAAATAAGGGACAAAATTGAACCTAGAGATATAATTACGAGATCAAAATGAATATTTTGCCTAAATTATATTCACGTCATTTTTTTAACTTACTTATGTTTATTTTTTTAATATTATTATATATTCTATTATATTTTCTTTTATATAAAATAAACTATTTCTTTCAAGTTATTTTCTTTTGTATAATTTTTTTACATATTCTATTATATTTTCTTTTATATAAAATAAATTATTTCTTTTAACTTGTGTTTGAGATATTGTTATAATTATTTTTCTTTTATTAATATTTAATTATAAATTATTTTATATATTTTTTATTATATGATTTATCACAATTTAAAAGTTGTTATCAACACATACTTTAATTTATGTATTAATTATAATTTATATTTCGAATCAAATTTATTCAATTTTTTAATCACTCAACATTAAAAAATTTATTATAAAAAAAAATCATAAATTTTACACCTTTAAATATCATGTCATTTATATTGTGATAAAACCCAAAAGAGGTATCTAGAATCTAAACAAAACAAAGCCTTAAACTTTGAATTTCTCCGTTCTAACACATTCCCAACACTAAATTCCCCGCCGAACCCAACTAAATAGAGTTCGAGTGCGAAGATACTACTTTGTACCCACAAACACACCTTGTTTTGTTTCTCATGTTATGTTATACTCACATGTACTATCTTCCAAAATCCTCAATCTCCACGAAGCACCGTTACAACGATCATTCAAAACATGTTCTAAACTATTCCACTCACTCAAACAACATGAGCACAACCTGTTCGACAAAACTCCCCACCCAAATGCTTCTTCAGTCAACCGTTCCATGCTTAACCTCTTGCACAACAACTTCCCCTTTCAAGCTCTTTCCATATTCAAGAAACACTCCCAGTTTCATTTTCTTCAAAATGTCGATGAGGTTACATTTGCACTGTCATTCAAGGCTTGTCGGGGAGAGTTTAATCTGGGTTCCCAAGTTCATGGATTCGCAGTATCCACCGGGTTTGTTTCCCGTGTTACCGTGTCGAATTCCCTGATGAAAATGTACTGCAAAGCTGGGAATTTTGAATTCGCTTTGCGTGTTTTCGAGAGTTTGAGTTACCCTGATATTGTGTCTTGGAATACTATTCTTTCTGGGTTTGAGAAGAGTGTTGAAGCTTTGAATTTTGCAACTTTTATGCATTTAAATGGGATAGTTTTTGATCCTGTGACGTACACTACTGCGCTTTCGTTTTGTTGGGATAGGAATCAGGATGATCATGGGTTTTTATTTGGGTTGCAGTTGCATTCTCTTGTGGTTAAATGTGGATTTGGTTGTGAAGTTTTTATTGGGAATGCGCTTGTGACAATGTATTCAAGGTGGGGGGAATTAGATGGGGCTGGGAGAGTTTTTGATGAAATGCCTATGAGAGATTTGGTTTCTTGGAATGCGATGCTTTCTGGGTATGCTCAAGAGGGAGAGTGTTATGGGTTGGAAGCTGTTTTGTTGTTTGTTAACATGCTGAGACAAGGTATGTTGCTTGACCATGTTTCGCTTACGGGTGCGGTTTCCGCTTGTGGTTATATTAGGAACTTGGAGTTAGGAAAGCAGATTCATGGTTTGGCTCAAAAATTGGGTTATGGAACACATGTTGCAGTTTGCAATGTTTTGATTTCGACTTATTCGAAATGTAAGGTTCTTAGAGATGCTAAGGGAGTTTTTCAGGTGATGAATAATCGAAATGTAGTGTCTTGGACGACAATGATTTCTATTGATGAAGAGAATGTGGTGTCTCACTTTAATGCTATGAGAGTTGATGGTGTGTATCCAAATGATGTGACGTTTATAGGATTATTGCATGGTATAACAACCAGGAATATGGTGATAGAAGGTCTAATGGTTCATGGGTTATGCATAAAAAGCTGTTTTTCATCAGAACAAAATGTCTCCAATAGCCTTATTACCATGTATGCTAAGTTTGAATCCATTCAAGAATCAGAGAAGATTTTTGAGGAGCTTAACTATCAAGGAACAATATCATGGAATGCATTGATTTCAGGGTATGCTCAAAATGACTTGTGTAAAGAAACTTTCCTTACTTTTTTGTCTGCAATAAAGGAGATTAAGCCCAACCAATACACATTTGGTAGTGTGTTAAATGCCATTGCCGCAGCTGAGGATATATCTTTGAAACACGGGCAACGATGTCATTCTCACTTGATCAAACTTGGGTTAAACACTGACCCATTTGTTGCAGGGGCTCTGCTTGATATGTATGGCAAACGTGGAAGCATTAGCGAGTCTCAAAGAGTATTCGACGAGACACGCGAAAAAACCCAGTTTTCTTGGACAGGGATGATATCTGCCTATGCCCGCCATGGAGACTATGAGTCAGTCATGAGTTTATTTAAGGAGATGGAAAGGGAAGGAAGCAATCCTGACTCCATCACTTTCCTTTCTGTTTTGGCTGCATGTTGTAGAAAGGGAATGGTTGATGTAGGCCATAGAATATTTGACTCTATGGTGATAAAACATTCACTTGAACCAACCCCTGAGCATTATTCAATAATGGTGGACATGTTGGGCCGTGTGGGACGGCTAGATGAGGCGGAAGAGTTGATGCATCAGATTCCAGGAGGACCTGGACTGTCAGTGTTGCAAAGCTTGCTTGGGTCTTGTAGATTACATGGGAATGTTGAGATGGCTGAGAGGGTTGTTGATAGTTTGATACTAATGGACCCTGCAAGTTCAGGTCCTTATGTGTTAATGGCAAACTTGTATGCTGAGAAAGGAAAGTGGGAGAAAGTTGCTGAAGTGCGAAAAGGGATGAGAGGGAGGGGAGTAAAGAAGGAAGTGGGATTTAGTTGGGTGGATGTTGCTAATGTTGATTCCTTGCATTTGCACGGTTTCTCATCTGGGGATAAGTCACACCCAGAGTCTGAGACTATTTGTAGAATGGCGGAGTTTTTGGGATTGCAAATGATATTTTCAATACAGAGTAGAGTGAAGGAAGGTGATTGGTATCGAGAGTTTGAATAGAAGAGTCATGGATAGCTTTACTTGATTGTGCTCATTCAAACTAATGTGTGCTCTATTCAAAAGAGAGTATGGGAAAGGGGATGGGGGCTTTGTTGAAAGAATTCTTTCAAAGCCCTTATCTTTTACAATTTGGAGGTTTCCCCAAATTGAGGGGGTTATTATGGCTGTGTAGCCTCATTTCATTCAACCACCAAAGTTACAATTTTGCAATTTAGTTCAGAGTTGTAAACGCCAACTTCTTTCACACTCTCTGCCCGGCCTTTTCCTCTTGAGTTGTATATTTTTTCCATCACCACAGATATTTGTTAATAGCTTGCTTTGATTCAGGCATTTCTTTATTCCGTCTTTTTGAATCATTTCATTCAGGTAGTTTGTTTCTCTTTCTGCTTTGAATCATTGAGTAATCCAATAATTTTAATCGTTTTTTGTTGTTTGTTTGTGTTCATTCATGGTCGATTTGTAATGTGTTTGTGGATTTTTATGTTTTTTATCTTTAAACTTTTGTTTTTCAGATTATGCTCTTGAGTATGCTTATGGAGCACACAAGTATTCATCAACCGGGATATTTGAAGGGTAACCTGAGAGATGTGAAGGGTATAGATTTACAAAGACAATTTTGATTGGAAAACCAGATAAGGGAATTGGTGAAGTAGGGTGTGATGGAAGAACTTGCTGCTGAGTGCAGAAGAAATGCTTACAATCTCATTACAAAAAATTGTACCCATTACTGTGACGATGCTTGTGTTAAACTCACTAAATTCTATACCGAGTTTGGGAGTTTTATATAAGGAGGGGAAAAAGGGATGATGACTTTGTTTAAAGAATTCCTTCTAAGCTCTTTTCTTTTGCATTTTGGAGTTTCCCAATTGAGGGGGGTTTGGAAGAAAAATAAATTTTTTAACATGTAGTACTCTCAGTTAACTCAACTGCCAAAGTTACAATTTTGTAGTTCAGTTTATAGTTGTAAATCCTAACTTTTTCCCTCACTCTCTATCTTCTCTTTAACTCTTTCGATCACACAGGGTATTTGGATTTGTGAATTTGTTTCATCAACACAGACATTTGTGAATTCCTTTTGGTTCAGGTATTTCTCCATTCTGTCTTTTCGACTTCCCGTCTTCATTATTGCTGAATCTGGTCTATCTTTCCGCTTTGAGTTATTTAGGTATTTCTCTGTTCTGTCCTTTTGATTTCCTGTTTTCATTATTGCTGAATCTGGTCTACCTATCCACTTTGAATCATTCCATTCAGGTACTTGGTCTTTGTTTCTGCTTTGAATCGTTCAGCAATCTAGCAATTTTTAAATGTATTTTTGTTGTTTGTTTGGGTTCATGGTTTATTCCTGTGAGTTCATGGTTTGTTCCCTTTATTCTTTCCAACTACTTCTTGCTGCTGGTTTTCCAAAATTCTCTTTTTGAAGAGATGTAGTAGTTGTTTTCAGTAATGTGCCTTTATCTATTTATTTAAAAAAATTGAGTTGGTTTGTACTTAAATGTAACGAGTTTCCGTTTCCTTGTACAAGAACATGCGCAATAGCTAGTTAAACTGATTGTATCAGCTGGTTAGAATTCATGCCAGCTGTAAGGATAGCTTGCAAGAGAAGCTTCATCTTGTAATAGTAGTTTGCATGGCAAGCTACAGGTTGTAAATGTTAGTTAATGCCAATTCAGATGTTGGTGCAGGTTAGATTTAGTGTGTGGTCAGCCACATATAGCTGGCCGACCTCCTTTTAAGTTGTAACTACCTCAAGATTTAGAATATTCAATACATAAATAGTTTGAGAAGTGTCTATAATCCCTTTCTCTCAAATCTAATACCCTGTTCTATTATTTCTTTCTAAACTTTTCTAAGCTTTAGAAGCTACAAGCATCTTGCAAGAGCATCAAAGTTTTTCATTTTAAAATATTAATGTGATGGATAGGCAAAATAAGTTAATCTAAAAGCATATAGTTCATGCAATATTGGACCTTCAGTTGTTTATTTTGTGTTTGCTTATCTTCAAAGTTACTCGGGTGTTTATCACAAGTCGTGCTATGGTATGCTGTCTTAATTTCTTAAACTAGCACACAAGCAATTTCTTATATACTACATCTCTTTCCTACTTTTTTATACAGTTGATTAAATTAATGCATCTCAGACAAAAGTGCAAACATCACAGTTCTTTCCCCCCTCTTTTGAAGGTAGTGAGTAGTTAACAGTCTATTATTGTAATATAAATCATTTGAGGGAAATAATAATTTGAACTACAATATTAATGTTTGCTAAGTTGGTCTTATTGTCTCGACTTATAAATGATTTGTAAGCCGAACTTATTTTCGTGATATGAACTTTGAAGTGGTGGTTCTAATTGACTTGTTAAGCGTGTCACATTAAATGGAATATGGTTTGAACAATATTTATAAGTAGGAGGTATTTTTCATTTTACAAGTCGATTTTGCAAGATTAAGGTCTAATGCAAATTCTAATATGGCATCACGTGCTATTTTAGTTTTGTTAATTCCCCTGTTGTTGGGCCACGTAGGGTGCCCCTCACCTTACATACTCATACTGTTGTTGGGCCACATAGGGTGCCCCTCACCTTACATACTCGTGCTGTTGTTGGGCCACGTAGGGTGCCCCTCACCTTACATACTCATACGGTAGGATTGAGTTAGACCCAACTCAAATTTAAATAGTACTTTATCTCTAAGGTTGATGATATTTGTTAGGGAGGCAAAAAGATGTAAAGATTCAGAGTTTAGATAGGCTTGGTTTTTAAGAATAAATGCACGAGTAAAGCAGTAACTTTTATGTGTTTCATTAAGTGCCGGGGAGAGGAAAAATCAGAATGGGGACTGTGGAGGGTAATGATTATTTTTAGGGAGGTCATTCAATATATACTGTATTTGTCCTTTTATGATCAGTTTTTGCTGGGGTGAAACTGCCAGAATATTTTTCCAACCAGTTTATGTTAATCTAAAAAGTTTATTTGGGTTTTAACTTCAAAACTTTTGATATGCTATGTGATGGTGCATGTACTGGTTATTAGTCATGAACATTCAGTTATTGAAATCGAAAAGCATAGCAGAGTAGCTAGATCAAAAGGGTAAGAAAGCCATGGCTAATTATCAGAGTCAGTGTAAGTGAACCAATGTTATCTGTGGCGGATCACAGAAAGCCATTTTTAGCCGCCATTCTTCACAATCCGCCGTCACAGTTGTCAAAAACTCCGCCACTGCAATCCGTCATATTCTGGTAATTACAATTTGAACAAGTCTGCTAATTGAAGCTTCCAGCATATTTCAAGTTCCTATATAATGTCTGTGAGTATTGAGTGCCTTTGTTTATTTGAGGTGTTAATAACAGAATCTAGAAGCCTTCCACCCTTGTTTGTAGATACACATACACCTAATGCAATTCATGAGTTAATAACTGCAAGTGATTTGAATCTTATCTAATTGTTTCACGTTTTCTTTTTTCTTTATGTTTGGAAGGGTGCATCAATGTTCAACCACTTCTTATTCTTGTTGTGAGACCTTGAAGAAACTTGAGCAAAAGCTCTCGATGCAGTTTGGAGTGATGAGTGAACATGTTGGGAATAATACTAGCCCTGATATATTCTTTCTCTCTTTCTCTGATTGATTTCAGAATTGTATCCTCGATTTTAACCTATAGCGGATCGAGAGTTTTGTCTTGATTTTGGAATTGGGTGTCTCTGTTCTATTGATGGTGGCTCAGGTGGTGTTAGATCTAGCCTATTTCACCTTCAACAAGGCTACTCTTATCCATCCGCCAAAGTTATTTTGCTTTAGAAAAGGACTTAATCCAATAATCTTGAAAGATTACAAACCGTCTAAGAGTTTAGAAAAACACTTTAGCCCTCTCAAATATCCGGACTATTTACTCTAGCTACTTGAGGAATCAACAATAGACTAAGAGTTAGAAAACACCTTAGCCCGCTCAAGTATCCTGACTATTTACTCTAGCCACTTGAGGAATACAATTCTTAACAAAATTACAATCAAATAGTATTTACAAAGTGCTTCTAGAATAAGCAAATTATACCAATATTAAGTATATATTGTTTAACACAAATATGAGCAACAACTCTCTGTGTTACAACAAATAATGAAGAGCAAAATTTTCACACAAATAATGAGCAACAACTTTTTGTATTTTGTCTTCTCTCTTTGAATGATTTCTTCACGTATTGATTTTAGTAAAGTTACTGTTCTTGTTCTCTAGTCTTGTGTTTTTGCAATGGGATGCTTGATCCTTTATATAGGCATTGAAGAAGTAGACTGTTGTAGTAGTAGTAGTAGTAGTACACATATCACTTTCATCTTGCCAGCTGCCAACGGTAGAAACAGACGTGGGAGACAAAGAGTATACAATACATCCATTTGAGTGGAATGTGTAATTATACCTTTGTACTAACCATTCTTGCGCAGGTTTCTGATGACACAATCTTCTGAGAAAAATTCTTTTGATGAGAAGTGTTGAATAGCTTTAGAAGATGTCATCCTTTGATCTTGTCTTCTGATGGACTATATGATGTAGAATAGTGACGAGTCCAGAATATCTAACCTTCCTTGATCTTTTTTTCTGATAGAATATTTCTGATGTTGAGAAGATGAGTGCATATTCCACGAAGTATCTTGGTCTTCAGAATCTTGATTTTGTCTTCAGAATTAGAAGTAACATCTTTTCTGATGAACAAATCTCGACTTCTGATCTGGAAGTGACAGTTTTTTTTTGATGTATTCAGAACTTTGACTTTGTCTTCAGAGTTAGAAACAACAACTCCTCTGTCAAACAAATCTTGACTTCTGATCTTTGAAGCAAAAGCTTGTTTCTGGTGTAATCTTGATTTCTGATCTTGAAGCAGAAGCTCTAACAAAAATCCTTTTTTCTAGAACACTTCTGACTTCTGAAGCAGCAGCTTATTGAGAAGTACGTGTGGAGATCCTCTTTCTGGAGAACATTCAGCATTCTTCAGAACTACTTATATTTTTTCAGAAGTGGATGCAAATAGTCTTTCTGATGTGTCCTTAGCACATTTCTGATGATTCTTCAGACATCATGAATCAATTAGAATTTCTAATTCGCACACTCAAGAAACTATTAGAAATAAAATTGTTTACATATAAAATATATGTATTGTTATCATCAAAATTCAGAGATTAATTGTAGAATCCAAATCTTATTCTAACACGAGCAAGATTAAAATTTAAGAAGAATAACCGTAGCCTCGAACTTTATCACTAACATCTAAGCCACATACAATTTTTCTTTATGTGTATTCTCAAAAAATATGTACTATTATGACCTTGCACGCTTATCCCAATTTAATGAACGTTCTAGGAAATTATTGAAGGTGTGAATAAAATACAAGAAAATGAGGATTTGAATTGAGTTTTTCACTCATAGCAAATTTTCGTCTCTTAACATTGTTACGTTAAGTGATGCTTTTGAAAATGTTATGGAAGCATAAACAGTAAAGCATAAGCAAGAGTGAAGAACACGTGGTATATTCTGGTTCACTTGAGAAATCCTCAAGCTAGTCCAGTTCACCCTACTAAAGTGATTTTACCTTCAACTCAAGGACTTAATCCACTATAACCAAACTGATTACAATCTGCACAGATAACTGTTGTGACTAACAACCACTAAGATCCCCATCTTAGTCTTTTCAAATCTTCTGACCTAACCGGTCCTTTGAGAAGCATGTTACCTTCTAAAGCTTCTGACCTAACTGGTCCTTTAGAAGAAACACAAAAGCTTCTAAAGCTTCTGACCTAACTGGTCCTTTAGAGGGAACAAACAACTGTTTGTTTTTACAAGGTTTGTTTACAAGAGAATGCTTCTACACAAGCAAGTGTAAACTCAATTAGGTACATCAGAAGATTCTAATACACACTAAAAATATTACATTGTATTGTAGCTTTAATGTGTGGTCTTCTTTTCTTCAAGTAGCTTTTTCACGGACAACATCCCAAAGCACTTGAATCGCTGAAGTCTTCTTCTTCATAAGCTTCTGAAAGATTTTTTGATATTGATGTAGTAAAGAGAAGAACTTCTTCATCTTGATTCATCTTAGAATATTCTGGATAGCAACCCTTGTTTTATTTAATTCAATGATCACTTCATTATCTTCTGCAGCTTAGCAAGCTTCTTGTAGTATATGAAATTAAACACCTTGTGAATCAATGACTTGATTGTTATCTTGTAATCATTAACAACATGATTCAAGAATCATTTTGATAACAATTGCTCTAGTTATTGTTATAGTGGTTGATAGCTTTGGTTGTGTTT